TGTTAAAAATTAATAACTGGCAACAGGATAGACTCCCAACATATGTCTATACAGGGACCTGACATGGAGAAATATTGGTTCATGCTATACCCCTAGAAAACCTGCATCCTGAAGGTTCTTTATGTTTACTAATCAGCAAAGTGGGGTATAAGACTTAAAATGAGACTGGCGAGGACCTGGATACCAAGTTCCATCACCCGTGGCTCACTCTGAAGAGTCAGGAGGAGTTATTCACTGGAGAAAAAAATAGAAGGCTCAGGAATGATGAAGGTACCAAAGAGTGGTTTTTTGAAATTTTTATAGTGGCCTTGAAGTTTATACAGGGACCCCGAGGCCATGTCCTCCTGCTCTGTTTCCAGAATGCTTTCAGCCTGGTGAATATGTCCCAGTTTGGATATATTCCCAGTTTGGAAAACAACAAACAAAGAAACAAACAGACACCAAATCAGAGAATTGTCCTTTGTACTGAGCACTGGAGAATCTGTCACTGGAAAGTCAGGCTTACTGTCTTTCAGTGATGTTGTAAAGCGTGCTACATTGCCTACCCGTGTGAGTTAAGGGCTTAGAGCTAGGTTGTTAGTGTATCACTATAAAAAGTGAGTGGCTTGCTATGAAATAGTGTCTTCTGAACATGGCAGGGACGCTGCACTCATGAACCTCCAACAATACGGTTACCTGCACAAGACTCATCAGTCAACATCCCAGCATGGATGGGGGAAGGGAACACAAAGCCCATCTACAGTTGAAAAAGCTACAGGCAGTCTATAGTTGCTGAGGGACAAGCCTCCTGATAGGTTGCTCATGCCCAGGTAGTCAGCCTTATACCCCAAGTACATATAAGCAACATGAACTGAACTCAGCAGTTTCCATCTATAGCAATAATAATTACAGAGGAAGAGGACATGGATTTGAGAGGGAAATGTGTGTGAGGGGCATAGGAAGAGTTAGAGGAAGGAGGAAAAGGTAGATATGATGAAAATACATTACATTCAGGTATGAAAGTCTAAAGAAATAAAAATAAAAAATAAAATTAAAAAAAAGCACATGGGTAGTCAAGGCTCTTCAGGTCCCTGAGAGGTCTTAAACATGGGTGGGATAAGCTGAAATACACAGAGGAGAGTTCAGGAAAACAAGTACGACACCCACACAAATTTAACCCCAATGAGGCAAACCTAGATCCCACACCAAAACACCCAGAAACAAGAGAATACAGAATGTATATAACAGAACACTAAGATGTCACCTTTTAAAAAGAAGAGACAATGTGAATGAGAAATTCACACTGGAAGTGAAATATAGGGTAAATCATGGAAGAGGGCAAACCTAGGAAGTCTTTAGTAGAGAGAAAAACTTAAAGTGAAAAATGAGGGATAGAACAGAGGGAGGATGAGGGAGAGAAATGGTGTGTGTGTGGGGGGCAGGGGAGAAACAGAAAGAATGTGAATTACTTTCACAACAGCAACAAAACATCCATGGAAGAAATTTCCTAAAATCTGCAAAACAGGAATTTCCAGTTTGAAAGGGCTGGTTTGAATGCCCAGCACAATAAAAGAAAACCCACAGTTAAGGCACTTTATTGTGAAATTTATGTCAATAGTGACAAAGAGCTCACAAAAGTTTTCAGAGATATATGCAAAGAATACAAATAAAATAAACATCTACCAGGCAGATCACAAAAGAACATGAATCAGAATGGTACCATGTGACACCAGCTTTGGATGCCAAACATTAGAGGGAGTCACAAAAGTATGTATGCATTGTGCGATTTTCTAACTCTAGACAATGTGCACATTAAATAATAATAGATATTTTATTTTCTGGCCATATGGTCAGATATTAATCTCAGGTATTTTAAGCTGTGGTAGGAAATTATCTTCCAGGATAGAGAGGCTACTTCCAAATGCCTTAGGTAAGAGATGCAGAATTTCATCCACTTGGTACATTTCCCTTGCCCATTTGACTGTGAGAATTTAAGACTTATTTTGAAAAAAACACTATATAGATACCATCAGGGTAAGTAAATAAGTTGTGGGTCTCAGAGCAAAATGAAAATGTCAGCAATTAATGATAATAAAATATAAAGCTGTTACCTTTAAAGTATCTTACTACTAATAAAATGTCAGATAGATAATAGCAACCTATGAGTATCAAAATGAACTTACAACATGAAAAACTGATGTTTTGATGTCATTTTTCATAATTCAGGAAATAATAATAGCTCATTAATGTGATGTGTTAATTGTTCATACGGTCTTTTCCTGGATTGTTTTCCACAAACATGAGATCATTATACTTCATGCTTTTTAGAAATTTCATTTTCAGTATTGTAATTTCTGATAAGGTTTAATGAGAAGAGTCTCTCTTACTGATACAGTTGTTACCCACACTGTTAAGAGTATTTTACAGATTCTGACAAGAGTGGGATAGATTGCTGAGAAATTGTTTTAAATATAAATTTTGGTACAAATCCATTTCACATGATCTGAATTTCATGTCAAGTGTAGCTGTGAAACCTGAAAGCAGCTTCATGAATTGTCTGTAAATCAAAACACCTTGTTGTTGGGCATGAGGTGTGTGCCTTTAATCCCAGCCCTCAGGAGGCAGAGGCAGGCAAGATCTCTGTGAAATCAAGACCAACCTGGTCCGCATAGTGACTTCCAGGTGGGCTGGGACTAGGCAGACCCTGTCAAAACAGAACAACAACAACAAAAAACCCCAAACCAAATCAAACTAAACCAAACCAAACCAAACCAAACGACTTTGTTATTCCATCCCTAATGGAATTAGAGTGTACCTGAGGAGTGCTGCTTCAGTTCTTTACTATAGGGCTCACTACACATATAACAAAACTTACCTCCTTATTGTAGGTATAAGTAAGCATTCTCTTCTATTTGGGGGAGAAGTAGATTATCTATGGCTAATATGGTAATTATGGCAAACTGAGTATCATCTTTACCTGAGTCAATCTTTAACAGAACTGGTCAGTATTACCTAGAGTGAGATGAACTTCCATGAGCATAGTCTTCTTTTTTAACCCTCTTACAAATACAGTGCAGCAGGTACCAGGAAGAACGAGTATTCCATCCACTTCAATCTGTCTTATCAGACAAGCCAAGAGTTATTTGCTTTGCTGTGGTTAGAAAGCTGCAGGAGTCAGCCTCTGCAGTCCCTCACTGTGAAACTTTCACTCAGAGAGTTTCAACAAAATCTCACAATTTGCCATTGGTTCTGAACTTAAATTCCCCCAACCAATAGAATGCAGTGTATTAATATGCTCAAATACAAGTATTTGTTTTATCCAAAGTGTATGGATCCCAAATTGTAGTGTGTATTTCCAAATTCATAAAGGCATAACAAAAGTAAAATGAAAGTAAAACATGACAGACACCCTTCTGAGTGGTGGGGGTAGGCTTAGGGTAGGGGCTAAATATTTAGCCACAGATTACTTGTCTCTCAACTCTACTGTTGAGAGAGTGTCTCCATTGATCACAACACTTGGTGGCAGTGATTTTGCTATAACTCAATAGTGCACATGACTCAGTGGTAAAGGATTAAGAGCTGTGGTTAAGACTACAGGGTGTGATCCTACTATGCCAAATAAATATCCTTCCTATAGAAGAAATAATTGTTTAATTCAACATTTCTATTTAGATCCTTGAATTTGTATTCTAAGGGGCTACTCTCAATCATGAAATTCCATTCCTATTTTTTGTATTATTATCGTTTAGGTCCTAATGCTCCATTAAAGAATGATTATAGATTTCTGTAAAAAAAAAACCCCACCAAAACCAAAAAGCCACCTTTCTGCTGAATAATAAGGTTGCTGCAGAAATTCCCTGGTTTTGCTTTTGGGCTGCATTTCCCATGACCCCAGCGGAGATGTCCAGGTACAGGAGCTCCAATTTCTTGTTCCGTCCTTCTGTGTCCTTTAATTACAGTTGCTGTAGGTGACCTGAAGCTGCTGTTTCCCTTATGTAATGCCAAGAGAGAAAGAAAATATGATTTCAGTGGTTACTGTAGTTAGAATGGTTCCTAAAGCCAGGCTAGAGGACCACAATGAGCTTGGCAAACAAACAGTTGAAAAGTACAGGTGCTGGGAGTGTGCACAGCCCCAAGATCAACATGACTTAGGAGGAGAGGGGGGTGGATAACAAAGAAAGGTGCTTTTCATTCAGAGAAATTTGTTTTTTTTTTGTTTGTTTTTTTCAATATTTGCGATCTGCAGCCGATAACGCATGAGGCCACTTGGCATTATTTCTTGACAAAGGGGAGGGAGGGCTGGCGTAATGAGCAGATGCCTGAGCGGCCTGTGGCGTGAGGTCCACCATTTGTCAAGAAGATCAATATTGACTGCTCTTGTATCTTTGTGGTGAACGTTTGTTCTTCTTTTTAAAAAAGGAGGGACGTGTGCTAAAAAATATAGAGCCCATACTTGACTTTAAGCAGTGAATCAAGGGAAAGCACAAAGTCTTCTCAGAGAAGAGTCAATGTCCCTTCCCCTTCCCAATAATGAGATTCCCTTTTTCAGGGAGTAAAGTTCCTTCAGCCCTTGTCACTGGAAGCCCTTTCTCTGTTCATTCTTTATCATTCCATCTGAGTCCTACATTGATGAAAAATACAGTTTGAATGTAGCATTGCATTTCAAAGTATGCTTTGAACCATCAGTCAGTTCCATTCAGTTTTATTCCACATAGACCAATAAGACCTCATGTCTTATGTAGAAAGAACTATGATAGGCACTGGACCATGAAGGTGAGAGGCAGGGCATAGATATAACTCCTGTAGCTTTTGATGCTTCAACTTCCCTAGATTTCCATATTTAGGTTGCAGAGAAGACAGTCTTGTGACATGGGGGCAGAAGAGGAGGTGGGGAGTCTGGTTTATGACTAGCTTTCTGTTCCACAGCAAGTATTTTGCATTAAGTTCTTTACATCAAATTGTGGTCTACATCCTTAATGAGCTTAATTTTGTTTTATTTATTTTCCTCCTTTGCCTTACAGCACATCCCTCAGTATGAAAGAACAGCTTTTCCCTGCTCCAGATTCATTAGTCACATGAAGAGGTACTCTGCATCACGTAATTTCCTGCCTTTTCCAGGTAAATTAAGAAACAATCCCATGAAATACCATGGACCTCAGCTCTGAAGATCCTGATATACTGAATTTTTAAGTCATACATTTTTCAGATAGTGATATTGGCAATTTTTATTCATTCTTTGTATTTTGAAAAGAATTAAGATGTCAGCATTTACTTTTATTAGATTACATCAATTGTCTGAAACTAAATGGCTAAAAGTCTATATGATTCTTTGTATAATGTTAATGAGAGTAGGATAGATACAAATCCATTTTGATATGAGCCACCAAAACCCTGAAGTATTAAACCCATACTTCAGTTGTCTTTCAGTATCCACAAGGGACTGGTTCTGAGTTCCCTTTCCTATGGGACTATGGAAATCAGAGCTGCCTAGAAGAGAGAAAAGCCATAGTGAGTCTGGTTGATAGGTGATGGGGAACCATTGTTTTTAAATCATTTTTTTCAAAGTGATGTGATTTAGTTGTATCCAGCAGTTAAAGACCGTGGTTGAAAGGTTAAGGCCGGAAAGAGGAAAACAACTTTTGAGGCTATTACAATCATCTAGGAAAAAAATGACCAGAGCATGGAGTATTCATAGAGGGAAAGAACCAGGAGAGATGTGTAAGAGGTGGCGTTCACAGGACATTGTCATGGATTAAAGACAAGGACCGAGACAGAAGTCAGATTTGGTGTAGAGTTTATTTAACCATCAACTCAGTAAGAGATGACTGAACACCCATCATGTGGCTGGTACCAGGCTGGTTTTTGGAAACACGAAAGTGAACAAGACAGACAACTTTCCCGACCTCTTGGAATGTGCCTTTTGAGGAAGGCAAAAACTAGTAGGTGAACAAGTAAATAATTAAGTTTACTATAAAAGCTATGAAGAAAAATAGTAGGTAAGTGTTTATGTCCCTTCACAATCAGTGCCTCCCCAGCTCCAGCCCCTGATGACTGCCAGGCTATTTAATGTCCTCACAGTTTTATCATTTTCAGAATGCCATGCCAATGAAATTATTTGATACATAACTTCTTAAACCTAACTCCTTTCATTAAGCACAAAACATTTGAGATTCATTCTGTTAGTGTTGAATAATATTCCATTGTATGGATTTTCCACAGTTTCTCCAGTTATCTGATAAATAATGTGGGGTTTGTTTCACCTTCTTTTTGTTTTTGTTTTGGAGGTTTTGTTGAGGTGGCTGGATTGTTCTATGTCTTAATTGTGTTAATGATTACAGATCTGCCTATTTGGTGAGACAGAGGGACAATAAGCAGTGAATTTTACTCCATGTAAATGTTTCATCAGTAAAACTCATTAAAACAGCTTATATAACCCAGGAAATACAAGGGTGAATGCGCTCCTTAACATATGGAGATCAGGGAAATTGACATATCTATTTCCTATGTTTTTTTTTGTGAAAAAATGTGGCAAGATAGTTGAAGTTCATGGAACAGTACCTAGAGCTTATCAAATGTCCAGTAATTATCATTATTGTTTTAACATTCAAAAGCAGTCATGCATTTCAAAAGAAGGAAAAGATAGTTGGCATCATGTGCTAAAGAACAAGAAATACGGAATGTAACAATATACATTCATTTTCACTGCTGATGTCTTGGTTCCATTGGGAAGAGCAGCTATAAAGTATACAGGGCTTAAGCCAGGCTGCTGAGACTTAGTGTAAAAAGAGGAGATGCAGCCACTGATGGCACAGCGCTGGCTTAATTATTAGATATATGATCTTGTACAAATGGCTTAACCTCACTGGGCCAGTCTCCTCTGCTCTAAACCAAGGGGAAGAGGAGACTGGGTGACCTAATCTACACTTAAAAATATTTTTCAAGTATAACAGATGAGAATCTGGATAATTAGTCAATAGAGTGTTGTAGAAATGTTTTTTTTTCCAGATAAGAAGGTTAATGACCAATCAGAATTCAGAGCTTTCCATTTCTTGTTTTCCTTCTTTCTATTAATTTCAGACACATACATGCACATGTAAATGCTGATAATAGTGTAGTAAGGTATGCACAGAGAGAGGGGGAGGGAGAGAGGGGGAGAGAGGGATGGAGGAAGGGAGGGAGGGAGGGAGGGAGGGAGGGAGGGAGGGAGGGAGGGAGAGAGAGAGAGAGAAACATAAATCACATTCTTCAGAGATTCATATGGCAAGACTGTAGGTACGTTGCCTCTGCCATAGACCAGGAATTCAATGACACTTGTGAATTCCAGTTGAGAATCACATAAATTCATCAGGGTGAGTGTCTTCAAATAGGGAGGTTGGGAATTCATCTAAAGGCCAACGTAGCTGCCTGAGAATGAGTTCTATGATACAGTTCAACAAGTATGTATTAAGTGCTTACTCTGCATCAAGTCCCTGTATTGGGTACTAGTGGCAGCCCCAGGAAAAATATAAAGCCTTAAAGATGTAGGGGAGTGAAAAATTATTCTAACAGGGAGATCTCTGAAGCTTTTAGCTTCCTGATGAACTATATCCATTAATATTGATTAGGTGATCATAGAATGTTACTGGGAGGCATCCATCTTGGCTGTTGATCCCTGTCTGTGCAGTAGGGTGAGCGACCACAGTGTAGAGAATGTGGTGATGGAAGGAGGAAGGTGTGAGAGAGACCTGGGCACTTGTTCACCTGGAGCCATCTTTCTTTCTAGAACTCAGAGCCAGGCATGTCCCATTCTGCACATGTGCTTTGGAAGGTTTGTGTGCTTCTGGCTCTATGTCACCATTTTGTCTGCACAGCATTGATAATTGCCTCAGCTGAATTCATTCTCTGGAAAAGTCTGACAAAGCTTGGAGAGTCCTGTGCTGAAGGCCAGAGCCATTTCTCAGCGAAGCCTCATGTCTTCTCTCATTTTGCTTCAAAATGTCTTAGTTTGTTTAGATACATATCACGACACTTTTCAGACTCAAGGTGGTATGCTGACAGTGCCTCTCTGGCAATCTCTCTCTCCACTTCCCTGAAGATTTCTTGCTCTTTCTTTGGCCCACCCAAGGGCTCCCATTCCTTTCCCATGAGACCTTATGAGAAAACACTCAGGTTCTGACAGGGGCTTTTGTGGATTACTCATCCAAAAGGAACAGTTCTCACTGGAATCTGGAATACACCCATACTACTTTGTTGCAAAAGAGCTTGGGGTGGGATTTGCCACCTCACCTCTTGGTGAAAAACCACTTTTCATGGGTTGACAACATCTGCATTTGGTGGGGGGAGTACCTTCCAGTTGGTCAGGCTTTGGGAGGAAATGATGCAAATACAAACCCAGGGCTTAGTTCTTGGGGAATTCAGGAAGTATCTCCCAGAAAGGGGGCAGGGGGAGAAGGACATTTGTCAAAGTGCCTGTGCTGCAGGGTCCTCTTGTGAATGGTCTTTCCCCTTTGTGCCAGCCAGATTCTGAAGAGTGAAACTCAGGAACAAAGCGAAGGAGGTACGAGCAAGTGAAAGCAGCAGTGTTTTCTAATCCGTGTGCATCAGAACCACGCAGGTTTTGATTCTGCAGTCTTCCGTAGCATGCTGGATTAATCACATGGATTAATAACACACAGTAGCCTCCGCTCACTGGTGCCTCTTAGCCATTGTGCTTACCCCTCCCCCTCTCTCTTTTTGAATTCTGTGAAACTCGGTGGGAACAAAAGGAAAGGCATTTTGTGAGTAACATAGCAGTTGGTCCATTGGTCCACCCCTCTGGAAGGTAGGCTCCCTGAATCTCCCAGTGTACAAAACCCTTGTTTGTCCCTCCATGGTAACCTCTATGCCTTGTTGAAAACTCAGGGTGCCTTTTTGAGCTTATGTTTTGTGTCATTTTGCTATGAGTGAAAAACAGCACATTGCAATTCTTTACATAACAAATGGGAGCCAGGGTTAAATGAAAGGCATCTGTCAAGGGGAGGCCTAGAGAGGGGTCTTAGCTAGGTGGGTATGTTTGCCTTAACTGTATTTAGCCTGTTTCTTAAACTCATATCTCCCTGTTTTCTGTGATAAGACCAGTTGGACAATATCTAATTAAATAATAACTAACATCTAGTAAACTTGACTATGTGCCAGACATTTCTTAAATCATCATAGAAACCCAATGAGGCAGTTATATAATCATCTGCACTTTTTGGCAACATGGTGAATCGGGAGCTTTCGGTATCTTGTTGGGTTTTTGACACTGTTAAAGTAGTATAGTTGAGACCACTTAGACATGTGAGTTCACTCATGCTAATGTTCTTTCTTGCTTAAGGTCTGTTTGTTTCATTATGCCTTTGAGAATTATATGAAACTTCAAACCTGTGTTTTAATGTTTCTTAGTGCTTTGTGTCTTCTTTAAAGAAATAAGATAACATGGAAAATAATTTCCTATCCCCCACAGAGTTATAATCTGTGAGCTGAAAAACCCTTATTCTAAAAGTCATAGGGAAAAATAACATGGAAGAAGAAATGAATGGAGAATAAGAAAGTAACTACACACAGAGGAGGAAAACAAAGCTTTGAGATACACCAAAATGTCTAGTTACTTGTTTGCTCAGTGCCAATGTGACAGAGCGACCATACTAATTTTTATTTCTTCATAGTCTTTCACATGCTCAGCACCATCTCCTCACCTCCCTTCTCTAGTAAGAATTCTCTTCATCTGCATTAGCCTGCTTTGTTTCTTCTTCAAATTTAGGAGCAAAGAAGCATTCTGCTGGCCATTAGCTCCTTGGCCTTTCTTAAGCACTTCAAAGTCATAGATGAGCAAAGATTCAAAAAATGGAAGAAGAGCAACATCAAAAGCCCAAGAGAAGAAAGATGATAATGTTAAGAGGAAGGAACGGAGACGGGTGCCTGCTGGATCAGAAAGGGGATTTGGGATCGAAGGGGATGAAGAGGAGAAACGGGGGAGCTGTTTATATATGAAGAGAAAGCGTCGGGGGAACTGGAAAGAAGCGGAGAGGAGAGAAAGGGGATGGGAAGGGAAAATGAAGAATTGGGGACAGAGGACTCGTGGCACCTTAGAAATTCAAATGTTCTTAAGTTTTCCCCCC